GTGAGAGAGAGAGAGAGAGAGAGAGAGTGTGTGAGTGTGTGTGTGTGAGAGAGAGAGAGAGAGAGAGAGAGAGAGAGAGAGAATTCGCTGCTCGCTCCGGTTGGTGCTGTTCTCCGTAAACAGCGCCGTATATGCGCTCGGTCAGACCTGCACCGGATGAGCGCGCGCTGCGGACGGACATTACAGATGCAAGATGAGGCACGACTGAGATTCACAGCATGTCATTCAAGGTAAACATGAACATTTGCTTTGGTAAAACATTAACTGTGTAATCTAAAAATGCATTAAGACGAACACTAATAAACGTGTGACCGAATAACGATTTAGGAGAGTTTTTCTCTCAGTCTCGCGCGTCTGCATGGCCTTATGACGAGTGTCCGCCCACCCCTCCCTTTTAAAAGTCACCATGGTAACCGTTAGTGTACGCTAAAATATCGTATACTAATCAGTTTTCATTCGAAATGAATGCTATTTTATATATTATATTGTAAGCTATAACTATTATAGACTATAAACTATTACTATTTTTATCTATAGGCTATTTTTTCTTCAATTTTTTTTCTATGAATTGTCTTATTTTCCTTACAAAAAAAAACATTTTTTTACTGTCATTTTGTTTAACATAATGCATATCCGACACTTTCGATTTAATGTGTATTTGTTTTGTTGTAATGTGTTATTTTATTTTAAATTGAAAAATTACAACTAAAACTTATCTTGCAATCCAAAAAATAATAAATATAATTTGATTTGTCAATAAAAAAACATTTAAATGCAATTTATTTTAATTTATTTAAAATGAATGTTATTTTTTATATATTATAGTTTTTATGCTACAACCAAAAAGGTTTTCTAGCTATATTCTATATATATATATATATATACAGGTGCGTCTCAATAAATTAGAATGTCATGGCAATTTGAGTTGAATTACTGAAATAAATTTACTTTTCCACGACATTCTAATTTATTGAGATGCACCTGTATATATATACACACACACACACATATATCTTTATATATATATATTTTTTTTTTCATCTAACTATCTATCTATCTATATATAAATATTATAAATATGCCTTTTTATAGTAAAACAATTCATAAAATTTCAATATATGTTTATATATATATATATATATATATAATGTAGTTTATTACTTTAATTTATTTACATTTTAAATGGGTGTTATTCAATTCAATTACTTAATGATTACTGGATGATTTTTTTCTTTAACAAACCCCTAATGATATTTTATTCAGCAACACTTCTTTGCTCATTTTGACCCTGTTGCATAAGAAGATTTATGCTGCTAACATGGTAATATAAACTGTATTTAACCATGTTGATGTCCACATGAGGTAATATTGTGATCCGTCTGTGTTCATGTGTTTCTGTGTTTGTGTGTCTGACAGAAGGAGACGCCGCTGGCTAACGCTGTGTTTTGGGCAGCGAGGAAAGGAAACTTGGCTTTGCTTCAGCTGTTGTTGAACAGCGGCCGAGTGGATGTCGACTGCAAAGATGGAGTACGAGCTTCTTCCTTCCTTCATGCTTCACCGTTCCAGTGATTGTATGGCATATGATAATGCTTTCTGTGTGTTTCTGTCAGTACGGCACCACAGCGTTAATGGTGGCTTCATACAGCGCTCATTATGAGTGTGTCCGGGAACTCATCATGCAAGGTGCAGATATTAATCTGCAGAGAGAGGTACCGATGCGCTTAGATTGCTGTTATAATGGACTATTTCTAGAGTGTTTGTAATAAATTGGTCTCATATTATTAAACTTGCACATCTTCACTTCTTAAACTACAGGAAAATATCCATCTAAACATTTCAGCCTAACTATAAGATTTTATTTATTTGGATGAAATATTTTTATTCTATTTAGTTGTAATTTAGTTTATTATGTTTGTTTTGATTGTATTTAATTTGATTTTGTTATTATTATTGTATTTATTGATGTATTTAAATGGCATTTATTTTAATATAATGCAGTAATTAATTAATTGAATTGAATTGTTATGATATTTTATTTGGATATTTCAATATTATATTTATTAATTTATTTGTTATATCATTTTTATTTTTCATTTAATGTAATGTTATTTTAATCTAATATATTTATTTTATTACATTTATTGTTTATGTTTTCCTTCATTTTGTTGTATTTTTATTTTATTCAATTTGATTGTTTTATTATATTTATAATAAAATATTTATTATATTTAATTAGATTTTTTTTTATTTATACATTTATATTTATGCATTTTTTTAAATTATTATATTTATGATAAAATTATATTATTTATTATATTTACTTTGATTTTTATTTACACATCCATATGATATTTATGCATTTATTTTTAATACATTTTTAATTTCTTTGTTTTTATTTATGAGAAGTTATTTTAATCTAATTAAATTATTTTATTTTATTTATTGTTTCTTGATTTATATTGTTTAATTTTAATTTAATTAGACGGATTTTATATTTGTTAATCAAATATACATTCATTCATTCGACTTTTTTTAATTATTTGTCATTTTGTTTAACAGACTCATATTAACATACTCTTTTAATTAATACATTTTATTTTAATTACATTTTAAGTGAATGTTATTTTTATAGCCTATTTTTTCTGTAGATAACTTTTCTTTAGTGAATAGCCTTTTTATAGCATATATATATATATATAATACAAATCTGAAAATGATTAAATATACAGTTTGTATAATATATCAAGAATTTTAACAATACTTAGTTTTGTTTTAAACAAAACTGCTGCTATTAAATAGCCAGACCCTTTTGTAATAATTAGCAAAATATTTAATAAAAACCTTTATAAATTAAAAAAATTATATATAAAAATAGTTTTTTTATTAAATGTTATGTATTAATTATTTTAAGATTATAATATATAATCTGTCTGTTTGTTTGTTTGTTTGTTTAGTTTCTTTATATTCCTCAGCAGCATTTCTGTTGACATCTCCCTAGCAATAAGCAGCAGTGAAAGTTATTTCTGTCTGAGCTGGAGTGTCAGGTTGTTAACATGACTCCTCAGAGGTGTGTGTGTGTGTGTGTACATTAGTGTGCGGCTGCTGATGATGTCTCTGTTCCTCAGACAGGTTCCACCGCTCTCTTCTTCGCTTCACAGCAGGGCCACAATGACATTGTCAAGCTCCTGTTTGAATTTGGAGCGTCCACAGAGTTTCGGACAGAGGTGCGCTGTGATTGAGATCTAAACGAGACTGAGGTATGCTGTGACTGAATAAATGGACTGGTTTGTGATCTGCAGGATGGCGGCACGGCTCTCTCCGCAGCCTGTCAGTGCGCTCACTCCAGAGTGGTGGAGACCCTTCTGAAGCACGGAGCCAGCGTCCATGACCAGCTCAATGTTAGTCAGCTCTATTCCTCCCATGAGGCCTAAACGCCTGATGCATGTTTGTGCCAGCTCCTCTAAGGTTTCAGTGTTTAGACTCTGCTCTTAAGACACAGGTTAAATGAAAACATATCCTTGGGAGACAGCAAATATTTTCAAATAATTTGGTGGAAATATTTTAGTAGTTTTAGCACGTCTTGCCAAGAATGTCATTGCATTTATTTAAAATGTATTTTTATTTAAAGGCACAATATGTAATTTTCGCCGCTAGAGGGTGCGTATTCAAAATAAACAAAGAGACAAAGGCGTAGTTTGATGAAGTTTGATGAGTGTGGAATCATGGGAGTTATCGTCTTCATCCCCACAGCCGATGCAATCCGACGGGACTCGAGCAGAAATCATGTTCATGGATGAGCTAATGATTTATTAACGTAGTAGAGTGAAGCAGGGTCGAAGTGAAACGAGGCCGCTGAACGAGCGTGACACATGGCTCAAAAGCAGCGGAGCTTTTATTATGCCACAGTCGACCGCTTCCGCTGCTTCCGGTCGTGCGTATGTGGGGAAAAAAAGCAGCGCTGTTTTATCATACTAGATACATTCGAAAGTTCTGGTATAATGCTACTCTGTGCAGTCGTCACCGGTCTATTAAAACGCACAACATATTAAAGCGTCTTTGGTGTTTCCATGTTTTCTACAAAACAAAACCGGACATCGAGGGGTTATGACGTCTTTTTCAGGCGACACAATGACACTATAGACACGCTCCGTGCCGCTAGTTACAATTGCTTATTTCTCTGGATTTAAACATTCTTCGAAACATTTGTGATAATATAAGTACACAAGTCAACAAAATATATAACGCTGTTCTAGTGGTTTTTGGATATTTTTATATGTTTTTCATTTAGTGTAATGTTATTTTAATCTAATCTAATATTTAATTAAATGTATTATTTATTCATTCATTAAATTTTTTATTCATTTTTCTATGCTATTATATTAATTATTTCATAATTTATTTAGAATAGATTATTAATTGTTTTATTTAATGTTATTTTAACATTGTGATTTTTTAAAAATGTTTTGTTTTTTGTATTTAATTAGATGTTTTTTTAGTTATGTTTATTAATTTATTTATTTTATGTTATGTAATGTTATTTCAGTGTAGTGAAATATTTATTTATTTGTTTGTTTTTTTATTTTGTCCTATTCAAGTCAAGTCAAGTCTGCTTTATTGTCAATTCTTCCACATGTACAGCACATTGAAATTGCGTTACTCTCAGACCCTTGGTGCATACAGATAACATAAATACAGATAGGTACAGATTAAATACAAAATACAACTATACAAATAAGGTAAAATGTAAAAATATATCTATATATATAAAGCACAAGGCATATGGCAGATAGAGTGTAAACCAGTAAAAGTAAAACAGTGCAGATATAGTGATTGTAGTGCAAAAAACAATGATTCCTATTTTATTTAATTAGGGTTTTATTATCTTATACATGTGACCCTGGAGCACAAAACCAGTCTTAAGTCTCTGGGGTATATTTGTAGCAATAGCCAACAATACATTGTATGGTCAAAATTATTGATTTTTCTTTTATGCCAAAAATCATTAGGATATTAAGTAAAGATCATGTTCCATGAAGATATTTTGTAAATGTCCTACTGTAAATATATCAAAGCTTCATTTTTGATTAGTAATATGCATTGCTAAGGACTTCATTTGGACAACTTTAAAGGCGATTTTCTCAATATTTAGATTTTTTTGCACCCTCAGATTCCAGATTTTCAAATAGTTGTATCTCGACTAAATATTGTCATATCCTAACAAACCATACATCAATGGAAAGATTATTTATTCAGCTTTCAGATGATGTCTATATCTCTATTTACTATTGACTGGTTTTGTGGTCCAGGGTCACATTTGTTAATTGATTCAGAATTAATATTATATTTATTATTCATATATTTGAATTTAATAACAATTTGTAATTCATTTGTCATTTAATGTAGTGCTATTTTATGTATGAAAGATCATATTCTTGTACATCTTGTCTATTGTCATATTCTCTAAATACCATTTTCATCATACACATCATCTCTGTTTCAGGATGGTGCGACGGCCTTATTTTTGGCGTCCCAAGAGGGTCATGTGACCGTAATACGGCAGCTTTTGTCATCCGGGGCTAAAGTCAATCAACCGCGAGAGGTCTGATTTATACTCATGGCTTATGCGCAGTTTGGTTTTGATTAGCAGTGTTTGGTTTGCTATTATGCATTTCATTGTGTTCTCCATGTTGATTGTGTTTTTTGGGTCAGGATGGCACAGCTCCGCTCTGGATGGCAGCCCAGAGGGGACACAGTGAGGTGGTCAAAGTTCTGCTGCTACGAGGTGCAGACCGTGACGCAGATAGAAAAGTATGTTGAAAAAACATTTATTTTATTTTGAGTTATTTTTTTGGCAGGTGGAAAAGAAGCTTATTAAAAGTGCATGAAATGGTTTGTTCTGCTGTCTCTGGTGTTTCTGGCTGAAGGACGGCTCCACGGCTCTGTTCAAGGCTGCACATAAAGGCCACTGTAACGTCATCGAGGAGCTCCTCAAGTTCTCTCCTTCACTCGGCCTTCTGAAGGTACGGCAGCATCATCTGATGTCCAAAAAGTCCAGAAAGTGGTTCAGTTGTGACTGTGTGTGTTTTGTCCTGCAATCTAGAACGGTTCTACAGCTCTTCATGCTGCCGTCATGAGCGGGAATCCAAAAACTGTCAAACTTTTGCTGAAGGCAAATGCTGATCCAGCTTTACCCAACAAGGTGAGTTTGAGACATGCGGATTATAACATATTATACACATATTATTAAATCCATCTATCCATCCATCCATCCAGCCATCCATCTATCTATCTACCCAGCCATCCATCCGTCTATCCATCTATCTATCTATCTATCTATCTATCTATCTATCTATCTGTCTGTCTGTCTGTCTGTCTGTCTGTCTGTCTGTCTGTCTGTCTGTCTGTCTGTCTATCTATCTATCTATCTATATCCAAATATCTTTTTAATATATGTATTTAAGCTTATTTGTAGGCTTTATTTAAATTGTTCAAAAGAAACCCAAATTTATAATAATTATTGACTTACATCAATAAATTACACAATTATTATTTTAATATATATATATTTGTGTAATTTATTTTATTATACACAACATTTCTCCATTTCTGGGCTTTATTTCAATTGTTCAAAACAAACCAAAATATATAAATTGCATTAATAGTAATTTGCAGAATTATTTCTTTATTAAAATATTGATATATTTATAATAAATATTTATTTATTGAAATTCTTATATATTAATCATTTTATCATTATCTTTTATATTTAATTAATTATTGTTTTATTATTCTATTTTTAAATTAGTATTATTAGTAGCAGTAGTAGTACTTTATTTTACATATTAAATAGTTTTTTTTTTAATTATGTTTAAATAAAAATATATAAATTATATATATATATATATATATATAAATGGCATTAATATTATTTTACATGGACAACTTGCAAAATTATATTTATTTAATAAAATATTACATAAATATATTATAAAATATTTATTTAAATTATTTGTGTGTGTGTGTACTGTGTGTGTATATATATATATATATATATATATACACGCACACACACAAAGATAAATGTGTGTGTGTGTATATATATATATATATATATATAAAATGTTATGACATAATGTACTTTTTTTTTTAAGACTAAAACATTTACCAAATTTGTATATTTTGTAAGAAGCAGCTTATGTTTTTTTGTTGAAAAAATAAAATGTTTAAAAATCTATTATTTTGGTATCATTATTTTAGTAGTGTCTTGTAGCTTGCAAATATATTTGAATTAATAGCATGTTTTCTTTAAAAGAGCTCATGAATCAGTGTTTATGTCATAAGACTACTAAAACAAAGAAAGGGAAACGTCACAAACAAATAACAAATAGCTAGTCACAACACAATAATAATAATAAAAAAAACTAAATATTTGTAAAAAATAAAAAGTTAAAAAAATGTATTCTTGGCTTTTTGATGAGTAGTTTGTCTTGCCATATTTATTTTCTGCTGAAATGGAATTCAGACTTTGTTTTCTTTAGAAAAGTTTAAATCTTGGTGCGCAAATATTTGTTTTCTTAACATTTTATGTAGCATTTTGTCTGTGTGAGAAGTGTGCTAAAATGTATATTTGTCAAAAGAATAAATGAAAATGCTGCTTTTAACATCTTTTGACTGTTTAAAAAATATTTATTTGATTGCATACACAAAAACATGATTTAAAATGTTTTTTCCCATTTTATTTTAAACATTGCTACAGTATTTCATTTTTATTTGTGTAAACTGTAATTCTTGGGTCTTTGAGGTGTATTTTTTTCTTGCCATATTTATTCTCCACTGAAATGCATTTTGAACCATATTATCTTCGAGAAATGTCAAAATCTTGGTTCTTATATGTGCATTTCTTAACATTCTATTTAGCTTTTTTTCTGTGCAAGAAGTGTGGTGAACTGTTTATTTGTCAAAATAAATGTAAATGAAAATGCTGCTTTTTAGCGTATTTTAAGAGGGAATTAAATATTTTAAAATCCATTTATTTGCTTAAAACGATCATTTGTATTTTATTCTGTATTTTCTTTTATTATTTTAATTATTTAAAGTATATTTGATAGTATTTGTGCACGAGACGCACAGATTTACAGAGATTCCGTGATACATTAATTTAAAAAAATGTATATATTTGAACCGTTCCCGCAGTTACATATAAGTTCACCGTCAACAATGACCAATGCCAATTTACAGGTAAGAGCTTAATTAACAGCCATAATAGTGGACCTTTTCATGCTATTATACTGTATATAATATATGTATTTGTGTAAACTGTAATTCTTGGGTCTTTGAGGTGTATTTTTTTCTTGCCATATTTATTCTCCACTGAAATGCATTTTGAACCATATTATCTTCGAGAAATGTCAAAATCTTGGTTCTTATATGTGCATTTCTTAACATTCTATTTAGCTTTTTTTCTGTGCAAGAAGTGTGGTGAACTGTTTATTTGTCAAAATAAATGTAAATGAAAATGCTGCTTTTTAGCGTATTTTAAGAGGGAATTAAATATTTTAAAATCCATTTATTTGCTTAAAACGATAATTTGTATTTTATTCTGTATTTTCTTTTATTATTTTAATTATTTAAAGTATATTTGATAGTATTTGTGCACGAGACGCACAGATTTACAGAGATTCCGTGATACATTAATTTAAAAAAATTTATATATTTGAACCGTTCCCGCAGTAACATATAAGTTCACCGTCAACAATGACCAATGCCAATTTACAGGTAAGAGCGATATGACAGCCATAATAGTGGACCTTTTCATGCTATTATACTGTATATAATATATGTATTATTGTTATACTTATCATTTTTCTGTTCTCTTTAAACGTATGCTTCGACAACATACAGTCGGAAATATAATTATGTTGTTGTTTAGGATATATGTATTCTTTATGTGTTCGTTATATTCACTTGTTTATTATTTTGATACATACATACATTTAAGAAAGTGCTTCTTAACTTATTTGTTACATTGTAAAGCTCCTGTCTTGTATGTTTTTTTTAATCTCCTGTATGTATTCATTAGTCTGTCCTTAAACTGGTCTAGCCAGTTATCCGTACATTACACCACACTAACATCATCTTATTGAACACAGATAGTCCAACACAGATTTCATTTGAATTCAAGATTTGAAACATTTAAACAGGCCTGGCATTGCTTTACAACCTGACCAAGTCATCTATATATATGGGTGTTTCTGTAACTACAGACAATTTTAGATTTTATTATTTCATTTATATCGCTTGTGTGCAGAATAATTTTATTTCCAATCATTTTTATTTGTTATTTCCAAAGTGTGAAATATTGTATGTAATTGCGTGCATTTATGAAACATACAATAAAATGATAGCCTTAGCAAGAAAAACACACATTTTTTTCCTTTTTGAATATCTCTTGTATATTTACTTGTGCACAATAGAAAGCCATTGATTTGGCCAGCAGAGCCTCTGAGGAGGACAAGGCCAAAAACTACGAGGAAGCTCTGCGCCTCTATCAGCATGCAATCCAGTATTTTCTTCATGTGGTAAAATGTAAGAAGCCAAAAGCCACTATTTATAAACTTCACTTAGATTTCACGTGCAATTTTTAAAATATATTTATATTTTATTTTTATGTTTATATTTAAACAGGCTATATTCATTTAAAACTGTTTAAATTAGTAGTATATTAATATATTATAAAATATTAATAACATAAAATATGATTAATAGATATTAATAAAACATTACTTGTTTATTTATAATATTAATTATTAATTAGAATATTTCATATAAAGATCCATATATATATATATGGATCTTTATATGAAATATTCTAATTAATAATTAATATTATAAATAAACAAGTAATGTTTTATTAATATCTATTAATCATATTTTATGTTATTAATATTTTATAATATATTAATATACTACTAATTTAAACAGTTTTAAATGAATATAGCCTGTTTAAATATAAACATAAAAATAAAATATAAATATATTTTAAAAATTGCACGTGAAATCTAAGTGAAGTTTATAAATAGTGGCTTTTGGCTTCTTACATTTTACCACATGAAGAAAATACTGGATTGCATGCTGATAGAGGCGCAGAGCTTCCTCGTAGTTTTTGGCCTTGTCCTCCTCAGAGGCTCTGCTGGCCAAATCAATGGCTTTCT